TGACACTGTTGAATTGCTTTACTTCCCCAAATGCCTGCACTTTATTGGAGCCCGTTTACCACAGCTCTGCCTCAGGCTGCCCCAGCATTGTGGCCACAGCTACAGTCCCAGGCCTCCTCCTGATGCCACTTCAGACTTGGTTTTCTGCTTTTATGGCATTCTGTTCTCTGCCTGGGCTGTTTCGGACTTAAGCAGCACAGAATCTGAAAAATACAAAAGCTAAAACCTGAGGCATCAATACATTTTGCAAGAGCAGTCATGTCTTGTGATCCATCTTCTGCAAGCCTGCTTACATCCTGTGATAGCCTTGCTTCATGCACAATTTTAGTTATGCTATTCACAAAAACAATTACAATTTGCCCTGTATCTATAAAGCAGTTATTTTTTTTTACAGTATAATAATTTGCAAAAGCAAATTTATAATAGTGAAAGCCAACTGTTCCATAGCAGATTGTAAGAGTGCAGAGCTGTCCCAAGTGTGTGAACCCAGAGGAGAAGTGAACTTTCTCTTTGATGTTTCATTGTCATATATAAAGAATATAAAATGTGGCACTGTACTAAACTTAATCTTGGATTTAAAGAGGGCACTTACTGGAGAAAGGACTATACACTGGTCTAGCAGTGCCTTCTCTCTCCAAAACTGACTTATTTCCATATGGAACTCTGCCTGGAATTTCAAGCCTAGTTTGATCTAGGGTTTTTTCCCTTTGCATACTGAATTGAGGATCCTTAATATCAGATCTTCTATTTGTGTCAGTGTCAAAATCCCCCCATCACCTCTGCACAGTGAAACCTTGAGACACGCCAGGTTTTTGGCTGCCCACATGAAACAGAGCAGGGAGGAAGAAAGATCAGGTACTCATGCTGCAAACACTGCAATCCCTTCAAGCACAGATGGTTCTTTTTGCTGAAATTGTCACTGCTTCTGACAAAAGCCTTTGCAGCACCACAGTCACTTCTGACATTAACTGAGTGATGGAGATCACTTCTGACAGATCTCTTCCAGAGGAGAAAACATTGGGCCCAGAGTGTTCAAAAAATCATCAGGCAATCCTCACTGCAAACAGAGATGGAGCAGGGGGAGTTTCTGGGCTCTAACTCTCCTTCCTCAGTGTATCTGCAGGGTTCACAGGCGTCCCCATAATCTTCCAGGGTGCTTTGGTAACACATTTTCTAAAGAAGGGAAGAAACAATGCAAGTGCATAAAAAAGCTCCTACTGCCCTTTGGCTGAAAACTCCAGACAAAAGCAGTTTAATAAGCAGATATGCCCTATTAGGTGTTAATTAGCAGTTATGACCTTAGTTTTGGCAGTCATGCCTGTTACCTGGAACACAAGTGAGTTGAGCTCACCCAGCTGAGCTGATGCTGAATCTCACAACCTGACAGGCCATGAGACACATTGCACACTCAGCTTCTCCTACCCAGAATCCAGTCCAGTTTGCAACTCCATTCCAGACTCTGGCAAGAATCCAGTCCGGGTTTTCCTTTTTGCCAACTCCATTCCAGACCCTGGCCAGAAATCCGGTCCAGATTTTCCTTTTTGCCAAATAAATTCCGGACTTTGGCCAGAATCTGGTCCGGGTTTTCATTTTTGCCAACTCCATTCCGGACTCCAGCCAGAATCCGGTCCGGGTTTTCCTTTTTGCCAACTCCATTCCATACTCCAGCCAGAATCCGGTCCGGGTTTTCCTTTTTGCCAACTCCATTCCATACTCCAGCCTAAATCCAGTCCGGGTTTTCCTTTGCCGACTCCATTCCGGACTCCAGCTGGAATCCAGTCCGGGATTTCCCGCACCCTGGATCCCGGATGGAATTGCCCAAAATGAAGGAAAATTCCGTATTTTTCTGGCTTCCCGTGGCCAGCAGGATCCGGGATGTGCTGAGCCACCCCCTCCACCCGACAGCACAATACTGGAATTCTCCCCAAGAAAATTCAGTGGTGCCATCTTGAGAAAGAAATACAAGTCAGCAACAAACAGGGCAGTATCTCACTTTTATTGTAGCAAATATACGGGACCTTTGAATGACAAGATCACTTTCCCAAGGAATTACTAGCAAAAATACCCACAAAAAGTTCAAATAAATAAGAATACATGAATATCAACATCAAAAGCTGGTCTGCAAATCCTCAGTTAATCAAGTTCAGTCCTTCCAGCATGGTCTGTTTATTTTTCAGATGAAAACCCACTAATGCAATGGGAGCAAAAAAGGCTCAATACCTTTAAAATAAGGCAAAAAATAGTGCATTCTAGGCAATTTCATACTGTAGAAATTTTATGTATCAGCCCCAAAAAAGCACATACTGGCTGAAAAAACTGTCAAAATTCTCTCAGAATTCTAACAAGATCCTTTAAATAGCAAATACAAGGTCAAAGTTACCTGAAACAATGAATGGAACACAGAAAGGACATGAACAGTGACAGGATGAGGGCAGATCTCAGAGTCTGGAGTCAAACAGGACAGCTCAGCCCAATGGAAGCAGCACATCCCTCCCTGCAGCATTATCCTGCTGTATCCAACTGAAAACGAGGTGGGAAAATGACTGCCCTCAGCACGAGATGCAAGCAGTGAAGAGAAAAGGAACATGGCAAAAGAAAAACAATATTGCTTCAAATAGTAAATATTTAAATTTTAAAGGAAAACAGTTTATGCACATTAGAGTGAAATTCTGTTTTTTCACATCTTCTAACAGGGTCATTTCACTGAGAATAACTGAGTTGTTCAAAGTTTATACTCATGCAACTTGAAGCAGAGTCTGGCTGTTTATTTGAAGTACGACCTGAGCATATTTGTTCTGTAGGTAATACTGCAGAACAATAAACCTTTACATTCTCTAGCAAAAAAATAAATCACTCTGTTTAAATATCTCACATCACAGTAATCTGTTCTTCTTCAAGAATCCTCACCAGTGCTAGGCTTAGATCCACATGATCATATTGCTAAACCTTGAATAAAAAAGGCCAATAGCCACACAAACACGGTGCTGGGGAAGTACCTTAAGTAATTAATCTTAAACTGAATGTGTTTGATGGAATAAATTTTTCTGCTCTGTTCAGAAGTGCTTCTAAAGACAGTATCCAGCAATACAAAATGAAAGAAATAAAAACCACAGTCCTCTTCATAAAAGGAGCTCTTTTCATCTGTAGGCCCAGAACACAGTGAAGGTAAAACAGAAACAGGACAAAATCCAGCCCTTGGAGGTCTGCTCAGCCAAGAGCTGTTTGTTGAGGCAAGCACAGAATTTCTCTGTGTATGAACAAAGACAAGCATGTCCAAAGTACCAAATCAATGACAGAAATTAGACTGTTGTGATTATCACAGGAGACAAACCAACCTGGCCAGATCTCAGGTGGAGCCCAGTGATGAACAAGTTTTCAGACTCCTTTAAAGTGCCATCACCACCTGCACCTGCTTCCCTTTTTAGTCTCCAATGACAGACTGGTGTCCATAAGATGACAAATATTACATTCAAACTTTCCTACCTCTGTGACAAAAGACTTTTCCCAGTGCCAATCACCTCTGCTGTGGTCACAGCTGGTTGAAATGGAGTTTATTTGTTCTTAGAGAAGGGATCATGCAAAATGTGCCTGTATCTACATGCTCTCCTTACAACCCAGGAAAGCTTCAATTTAGAAAATTTAGCATCCAGCAATATTCAATGCTATAACAACATGCTAACTTATTTACTGCATCTAACAGAATTTTTTTTAAAAAATGTTATTCTGATTATTGCCTGGATCCTGCTCACCTCAGGTTTGGAGCTTGTAACAGTGAACTAGAACAGTGCATTAAAATCCTGATTATTGGCAAAGCAGCTCTTCTGTTTTTCACTACTGCTCATGTGAATCAGGAAAACTTGGCTAAGGCAGGCTTGCAGAATTTGGCCAGGGCTTGAAATACAAGCACTGGGTGCAGGAACCTTTCATCTAAAAAAGCTGAAATACAGGAGGCTGGACTAAAACAAAAGGGTGAAACAGCAACACTGGGATGTGCTGGTCCTCTGCAGCTGCTGGTGTTCAGTCCCATCCTGAGTGCCACCACACCTCTGACACAGCCACCCCCTGCTCATGAGCATCTCAGATTCAGTTCCACTTGAATTGCATAGAGCTGAATGTACATGCAACTACAACTCTTATTAAGTGTAACTCTACAAATACTGATTCTGGACATGTCATACTGTCTATTACATTCATTTCCTTTAACAATTCAAAACTTCACATTTGGTCTCCAGTAGACTAGGAAAAAAACACTAAAAATATTTCTTAGGCTATTCCTGAGCAATGTTTTTATGTACTGTAAAATACTCTATACTACATTTCTTAATATTCTCACTTTTCAAACTACATATAAATTCATGCTTTGAAATTTTACAAAGCTGAAGATCTGGTAGGCACAATGAAAGATAGAAACAGCTAAGCATCTTAAAACCAAGATGAGCTCACCAAGAGAAGTGCAATTTAGCTATATACATAATGTACTCTTTAGTATTTGCTACTTTTTCATTTTCTATCACAATGTGAAGGATCCTCTTGCAGAATCTGGTCCATCAGAGCTCAGCTCACTTCTCATGAAGATTGGGGCTGGTGGCTGAGGAGGAAAATACCTCACCAGGATTTTAAAGTGAAAGTTAAAAACATTCTTTAGAATTTCATCTTAACAAGATCCTGTCCCTGGCTGCAGTGAGTGATTTGAAATTGTAATAGGTCAAGTGACACTTGAATATTCTCAGAACTGTCCTTTGTATTCTCCTGTATCTCACAGACACAAGAGAAGACAGAAGGCCCAAGAACAGGACCCAATCCTGTGCTGTACAATTTCCTTCTGCAGGACATTTCCCCATCTCACCTCCTCTCAAGCAAGACTGGACCACAGGATAAATAAGAGTCATCTCAGATGACTAAAAATAGGTATCTTCTGTATCAAAATATATCTTTACTTGAACCTACAACACCCTTTAAATTCTTCCCTTAAGAGTCTGTTTCTTGTATTTTGAGGGGCCACCAGTTCTGAAAACTAGGCCACACAGTCTCTGCTAAAAGCCTTAGTTTGCATGACTCAAATATATCCATGTGCAATTTGAAATCTGGTCATTTCCCCTAAATGACAAAAAGCATCAAGGCCTACAAAATGAACTTCCAGGAAAGCTGTCTGTAAACACAGTGAAGATTCCAGGGTATAAAAATACACATTCCATTTTCTTAATCTGTCATTATTGATGCTGTCTGGTCCCTAATACTTTGTCTTAAAAAGAATTCTTTCTGCATTAAAATATTTCAAAACATTATCTCCATTCTTCTTCTTCTCAAAAAAATAATACCTGTGTTTCATCCAAAAAATCCAATTTGTCATCTTCTGTGAAGAATTAGAGTTGACTTTGCATAGATAACAGGCTCCATTATTTTATAAAAACACCAAAATCAAACCTGTCTTACAAAAAGCACATCTAGGCAGGGAGAAAGAGCATGGACCCTATTCCCTCATACCCAGCAGGGTAAATACAAGGAACACTCAGCTGGTGCAGTCAGGACATTCTACACTTCTCTAAACTTCACACTGTGCTATTGTTATCCTCACTGAGCAATTATAAATATTTTTGAGGAAAGACCAATGGAAGACATTTGCCTTCAGAGAAAACATTTTCTGCTGGCTTAAGATCAAATCTATAGAAATGAACAGTGCTGACTCAGAACCACGTGCCAGGAACATTTTTCTCAGCATCTTCCTATGAAGGAAAAAAAGATTCTTCTGCACTGGCCAGATGCTTTCTAGCAGTCAAGAAGCATCAACATTCACTGAAATTTGCGTGGTGTTTGCTTTGTGCCATTTGTTTTTATTTTCCTGTCCACTGTTGTTTTTTTAGGAGGAACATAATTGCTGGCATTGCCATTTTTCTTTGGATTTGTACACGTGTATGTTTTTAAGCCTCTGATGGGAGCAGCTGCCCCGTGGAATGCTGGGGTTTGCTTAGGGGGCCTGATGTTCCCAACACTTTGGATTTTGGAGCTGCTCTCGGGGGGCTGCAGATTGAGAAGCTGCTGCTTTGCAGCTGGTTTCTTCCTCAGGTCCCTCCTTCCATCTCCAGTTTGCCTCTGAGGAGCTGCTGCAGGCCCAGCTCTCTCAGGAGCCTTCGGGCACCGCGCCTGGCGAGTCTCCTCAGAGCAGGGCTCTGCCCTGGGACCCAGGCAGCTCCTGGGCAGCCTGGCAGCCCCTTCCAGGGGCCCTGCCTGCCTGGGGGGCACAGGGCTGAGCAAGGCTTTGCCTTTCCCGGGGCTCTTGAGGCCACGGCTGGGGCCGGGCGCGGTCTGGGGCCGCCCTTTGGCGGCCCTGCCCCGCTCGCTCTGCACCGTCTGCATCTGCAGCCACTCCAGCTGCAGCAGGCGCTCCAGGTACTTCTCCAGGGCTCCCGAGGGCTTGGGCCGGAACTCGGCTCTCCCTTCCACGTGGGCAAAGGTGGCCAGCTGCTTCAGGTCCCACGAGTTGAAAGGAGGGGGCAGGAAGTCGGGGTAGTAATATTCGGATTCCTTAAACCCCATTTCAGGGATGTGTTCCAAACAAAGCGGGTCGATTTCTTCAGCTCTGAGGATGAGTTCTGGGGGAGTGCAGGGAGAGGGGGGAATGGGAATCCTTTCTGAGTCAGACAGGTCACTGGCACTATCATCTTCAGCATCTTCTTTAATAATTTGCACCGATTCAAAATCAAGAAACATTTCACCTACGGATGCTTCTTGCCATTTTGAAGAGCCTGGACTGGCTCCAGCAATGTATTCTTCATGATTCTTCCCCAACTGTTCCTTTTTACTGCAATAAAAATGCTGCACTGGGACATCCTTAGCCCTACAGAAGTTTTCTTGTGTGCTGCCCTTTGTGCCAGGGGGGAACCTGTGCAGGAAGGATTCGCTTTGATTTCTTTCTGGGGGACTCCTCTGCAGGAAAGATTCATTTTTCCTTCTTTCTGGGGGACTCCTCTGCAGGAAATACTCATTTTGCCTCCTTTCTGGAGGACTCCTGTGCAGGAAGGATTCATTTTTCATTCTTTCTGGAGGACTCCTGTGCAGGAAAGATTCATTTTTCCTTCTTTCTGGGGGACTTCTGTGCAGGAAGGATTCGTTTTGCCTCCTTTCTGGGGGACTCCTCTTTGGTCCTTGTGCACTGTGCAGTGAGCTGCAAACACTGGGGATCCTAAAGGAAAAGGAAGTTCATCTCCTGTTAGAATGGTCAGTGCCTTTGAACAGCAGCTTACAAAGGTCTTGCCACCCCTTCAAGGATGGGCATCTCCACGACTGAAGCTAAAACTGGCACAGAAACTTGGTACTGAGGCAAAATCAATAATTGCTGGTAGAGATAACATTGCCTACAAATTGATTTGTTGTTGTTGGGATTTTTTTTATGGTTTTGCCTGAGAACTCACTAAGCAGGATAGCAAATTTCCATTTTGATAACTTAAATTGGTTGTTCTCATAAATGGTGAACTCTAAGCCAAATGCAGCTCCAACTTCATCACAATCATTTTGTCAACCAGTTTGAAATGACTACGAATGAAACAGATAATCTTAACATAAAATTTACCTTTTTGACTGATTATTGCCATCCAGCTGGTTCCTTCCCTTCTTATAAACGTTTGCTTGGTGACCATCTTGAGTGTCATGGGAAATCTGAAGGGATATGAAAGTTTGTGATGTTATTAAGAAGCTGACTTAGAGTAGGTACCATTTTTATGTTAAAAAAGGGGATTATTTACCTTTTCAATGGCACTTGAGACATTTTTGCCTAATCTTCCAGAAGGAGATTTCACATAAGAAATTGGTTTATTTAGTCCTTTGGTGCTTGGATGGCTTTTTCCATTACTGTAACCACAAAGGATTAAACAGAATATCAGATATAAATAGCAGCATATATGAGTGTCAGAGTAGAGGTACAATAAAAACTTGAGAGTACAACTGAGTTTAGAAAAGAGCTGACTGCAGTCATTCTTGAAGTTCATCAGGACTATGCCACTGTGGCCACTTTTTACTTTTTATACTACAAATGCACTGCTGTATTTTTAATATTATTAACACAAAAGTGAATAATTCTATCAGATGATATAATAATAAAATGTAGCCCTTATATAGAATCCTCTGACAGAGGATCCCAAAGCTTCTTTGGACATAATAAATATTACAGATATTTAACTACTGATTTTTATAGTACCTGGTAGGTGTTCCAATTACAATTTACCAAAATTAATTATAAAGTACGATATGAAGGTCACATATGAAGCCAAATATTGCTTGTCTTTCCCATTTGCACATTCTCAACAAAATTTAAAGGATTATTCCTTTGAAGATAAGGAGTGGAAGTGAACAGGGAGCATAAGGTCTCTTCTGGTATTAATACAAACTATTTCACAATGAAGGCGTAAGAAAATTCCTTATTTCATATTATAATAGGCTTGTGGAAATATTATTAAGAGAAAAAAGCTCATATGAAAGCAAAAGGAATGGCATTCCTGATCTGGGCAGCTTAGAACTAAAACATACTTCCTTAATTAAACCAGATACATTTCTGTGTAAGCAAGCACACAGAATAAATAAATCAGCATATTCTGTATGAATAAGAACAGTGTTTGCTCTACAAACAAGAAGCATTACTGATTTCCAAAATATTATTTCAGAACAGGAATAATCAAACTGTGTCCTTCTATCTAATCTAGCATTACTGCAGTTCAGTTAATTTGCCTGGCTGTACATCTTGTTCTCAGTGTTTATGTCAGTATAGTCAGATTTTGTTTTTAAAAACACATGATTTCACAAATTCAAGAGCTTATAAAAGAATGCAACTAAGTCCTGTGCCTCCAGCATTGCTGCAGTCACCTCTGTGACCTTGTGACCTGCACGATCATCCTGCACAATCATTTCTGTCACTGGGATCAGGGGAGAGGAAGGCAGTGGGAACAGGACAGCCAGGCACTTATTAGCCAAGCCCAGCATGTTGACATTTCAGTAACTATAAAAAGTGAAATTAATTTCCTTACTTTACCATTCCTTTGTGGTTTTCATTGGTGTGGCTGTGGCTTTCCTTCTGCTGTGTCTCTCTGTGCAGTAATAAGGGATATTCCTGAATTCCTGGTCCCATTATTCCTCTTTCCAAAGGGAATCTGCACCTTTACTGTTACATAATCTTCAAACGGCTCCAGTCTTTTGGTTTTGCAAGACACAATCTATCCAATGCAGACATCCCCACGTCCTGGAGATGCTGGCGACAAACAAAATCCTCCCGATGTGATTCTATTTTTAAAGCAGGAAGATAAACATAATCAGCTACCAAACTGGACAGGAAAACAGCCCCCTCCCCCGGCACTCGCTTAGCGGGAAGCAGCAGCGCCCCATTTACTATTCCCAAAATAAGGAATACCTGCAGGTACGGCCGTGCTCCCAGAGCTGCCGGGCAGTGTCATGTGCTCATCCCCATCCCTGCTCAGCCTGCGCAGCTCCCGGCGCTGCCGGGCCCAGCCCTGGGGGTGGGAGTTCCTGCTCCAGGGGATGGGGAGCAGGCACCAACCCCTGCTGCCGTGCGAGCTGAGCGGCCTTTCTGTGCCACAAAATGCGCTCTTCCCATATGCATATATGCAAATCTTGTATCCAGTACTTCATCGTTTTCTTTTTCCAAAACAAATGTCTCATCAGCTCCTACTAAAATTACTCAGAGCAGGAGTATTTTTAGTATATTTAGCAGGAGTATCCATTGCTTTCTTTTACTTCAGAGGAACTGCATTCCCGTACCAGGGAGGTGCACGGTTCCAGGGGCTCACAATGGTCTGCAAATGTGACAGGTGACAAGCAGCTCTCCTGACGCACCTTTACTTCTACTGCAGTGCTGTTTATGTATTTACAGTCATATTAATGTCCGTGTCTACTGACACTTGATCCCCTCCTATCCCATCCTGTCCCGGCCGCGCTCAGCAGAGCCGAGTCCCGGAGCCCCGGAGCGCCGCAATCCCGCACCGGCCGGGGCAGAGCAGCGGCCGCAGGGGGCAGCGCCGGCCGGGCAGTGCCCGGGATGGTGGCAGGGCCCGGGATGGTGGCAGGGCCCGGGATGGTGGCAGGCTATGGCAGGCAGTGCCCGCGGTGGATGGCAGCAGTGCCAGCAGGCGCAGACTGTGCCCGCAGCGCCCGCCCAGCCGGGCCCGCTCCGCTCCCTCCCGCCGCCGCTATCACCGCGCTCCACAAGGGCCGCTCCTTCACTCAGGGGCCGCCCCGCATTCCCCGGCGCTCCCCGCCCAGGCCCGGTACCTGCCCTTACGGCGCGTCCGTCGCCAGCGGTAGCGGCAGCGCCGCCCGAGCGCAGAGCGCGGGGGCCGGGCCGGGCCGGGCGGGGCCGGGCGGGCCGGGGGAAGCGGCCCGGCGCCTGCGCTGCGGCTGCGGAGCGGAGCGGCCGCGCTGTCCGGCCGGGGCTCGGAGCTGCTCCCGCGCTCGGGCTGCAGCGGGGGCCGCGCCGCCCATGGGCGCTGTGGCGGCCCCGAATGCGGATCCGTCCCCCGCCAGCCACGACACCGAGCCTGGCGCCGCGGCCGCGCCCGACAGCTCTCGCCCGCCTTCCAGCCTCTGCAGCAGCCCCGGCTCCCTCCTGCCCGACAGCCTCCAAGCCTTCCCCGGCCTCGACTCGCCCAGCATCCAGTGCGACAGCCTGGAGTGTCCCCCCTGCTCGTGCTGCTGCTGCCGCCGGAGCGCGGGCTCGGCCGCAGGCAGCGAGGACAGCCTGCAGGCCCCTCTCGCCCGCGGCTCCGGCACACGGTGCTTCGGCGCGCACCGCGCCTCCAGCGACCTCTCCGACAGCCTGGAGTCCTTCATCCAGCACGACAGCCTCCAGTCGCTCTCCAGCCTGGGTGTGAGCTCCTCCAGTATCAGCGGCGATAGCCTTGAATCCCTTTCCAGCCTGAGCCTGGGGGCCACCAGCCAGCACAGCGATCTCGAGTTCATCGGGCACTGATTCTGCCTTCAGCTTCCCGCACAACGCCTTACTGCTGGCTCTCCGCCAGCTGCCCTGAGACCTGCCACGCATCTGCCTCTCGTTCCAAGGTGACATTGTTCCAGGTGATCCTTGCTGTATCCAGTGCAACAACCTCAGACCTTTCTGTGGCTGCCATTCCCAAATTAAGTGCTTCAGAGGGGTAGTGCTCCTTATTACCTGCAGTGTTAACGCTGATTTTTTGTCACCAGTGAAGAATGGAAGTGCGTGGTCCTCGAAGGAATCCCAGCTACCTCTCAGATCTCTATGAGAACATGTTAAGGGCTGAAGGAGCAGTGGCACGAAGGCAGCAGCAGCCCCCAGCAGTCCATACAAGTAGCAGCAAGACTTTTCGGAGCAGTGCCCCAGCCAAGGAGAGCCCCCAGCCAAATAATCATGCGAGCAGCACCTCCTCCAGCTGTGACCCAGCCCTGCGGCCCATCATGCGTCGCCGAGCAAGGTCCCTGCCAACATCACCTGAGAGGAGGAAGAGAGCAGCAGTGCAGTGTCAGGAGCCCGGCTGCCGCATGAACAGGGTCAGGTTTGCCGATGCTTTAGGCTTGGAGCTCACTGAAGTGAAAGTCTTCCAGACTGGGGAGGATCCATCCATCCCTTTGCACGTCCTTTCCAGGCTCTCCATAAACTCAGACCTCTGGTACAGCAGCTTGAACTTGGAGTTTACTATGCAGTGCTTGGTCCCTGACTTCCAGCAGCCTGCAGACTGTGTGGATTTCTCATCCCGACTGCAGGAGCAGCAGGTGTGTCTGGAACGGGTGAGCAGCTCAGATCTGGGGCTCAGTGGCACCATCCAGGTCCGGAATGTTGCTTTTGAGAAGCGGGTGTCCGTGCGCTACACCTTCAACCAGTGGGAAAGCATCCATGAGGTGTGTGCTCGTTGGAACTGCAGCATCCCAGAGAAAAATGGGCAGGATCACGTTGATGTGTTCACTTTCTTCCTTCCTGTGCCTCCTTTTCTCCTTCAGCTGAGCACTCTCGTCCAGTTTGCAGCAAGGTACCAAGTCAACGGCCAGGAGTACTGGGATAACAACAGAGGCAAGAACTACACCCTCAGGTGCCGGACTCACCCCCTGAAGCTGCCGAGGGAGTGTGAGGAGAGCTGGATCCACTTCATCTGAGCAGAGGGAGCAGTGCTGAGCAGCCTGTCAGTGCTCTGGTGGCACTCTGTGCCTTGGCATGGCGCTCTGCCCCTATGGCAACAGCCTTCTCTTTGAAACCTGCCAAACCTGGCCGAGTGTCCCAGGGCTGGGAGGCAGCCAGTGGCCTGTGCAACCTGCCCTGAACCTCTGGGAAAGTTAAAAGGGCCAGAATCTGTAGTGAGATACCATGATAGAAAAGCCATGTGGGTTTTTTGGGTGCATGAGTCATTGCAGAATGGTTCCCAGGAATGCTGTGAGGCTACCAGAGAGCAAAACAACACATTTCTTGTTGCTAGTGATACTCTTGGTTGCATAGAATGTTTCTAACTGATCTCTCTCACCATTTTTTACTGTTTGTTTTCTAAGTGGACAGTGTGGCTTAACTGGTTTTGTTTCTAATTTTGTTTATATTACTTCACCAAGTCAGGGCACTATTCCATTTATGCATAATTTGGATGACAGACACTGTAGGGAGTACTTCACTTGTATTTATATAAGTATGTTATTAAGGCTGTAGTCACGTTAAATATTTCCATTAGTATCTGAGTTGGAAATTCAATGCTACTATGAGCAAAACATACATGAAAATGTGCCATCAGCCCTTCTGTTTCCCTTGGAAAAAAAAAACAAAAGGTGCCTTTTCCTATCTCCTCCTTGCAGCAGGAGTGATTGTTACCAAAGTGTGTGTAAGGCACATCTGCCTGGGGAAATTCTCACCTTTGTCAAGTGATGCCCAAGTAGGTTTTCCTCAAGGTGGTGGTACAGGAATTGTCTTTTTCTGGTGCACCTGCTTTTACTAAGGGAAACAAGACCAGTATTGGACTTGTGTTGCAAATGCAGTTGAAGGTCTCAAAGCACTGTATGAATGCTCCTTATTTTATCACTGTTACTGGTAAAATTATAGATCAAGAAATGGATATGATATAAATAAATATATATAAGGAAAAGAAGTAGTGCAGGGAGCAGGGTACGGAAGCTTGGAATAGCATTCCAGAACCCTGAATCACAGTTGTTCCCCAGTGTTCCAGAACTACTGCAGAAGTAGCTTTGACTTCTTTATTTAACTGCTTGCCATTGTAAAACAGTTGAACTTCCAAGACTTGCAGCCTTGCAACACAAGCAGGAACTTGAAAACACTTAATTACACAGACCCCTAAACAGAATCCCTTCTGCTGCAGGGAGAGCACTGGAACACTGTTAGACCACCTTCCTGTGCTTCTTGTTTTACCATTTTTGTTCTGTGGTTTTAGTGTGGTTTAAGATTTGCAACAGGCTTAAATTTATGAAGTAAAAGTTTGTCCATAATTGTTCCCATACATAATCGTTACTGCATGGCAAGTTTAGCTTTATATGTGTAACACAGACTTTCAGAGCTGACTGGCTGAAGGTATTAGAAGAGCTGTGTTTTAGAACTATGCTATGAAAATCAGGCCACTTACTTGGGCATCTTATTTTGGATTGGTGCTTATTTATCAAAATCACAAGTTGTTTGTAAAATCACAGTTGTAAGCAAGCCATGGCCAGTTATATATTAGTCTGGAAAGTCCACTGAGTAATTCTGGAAGTGCAGAAACCCCAAGAAAATGAATTTGTCTGGCAACTTAATGCTGCTTCTTTGTTGTGACACCCATTTAGCAAAGCTGGGCTTTTAAGTGAGGAAGCTGCCTCATTCCATTGGTCTTTGACTTTCAGAAGAACCAAAGTCAGGAGTGAGGATTCTGTGAGCTGCTGAGCACCTTTTGCAGAGTGCTCAGAAAGCTCAGTCCTATCTGAACATGCAAACACATGCACAGAAGTTTCTTGTGCTGAATAAAAGGGACTATTTTCAAGCATCGTTCCCTCCTCTTTTTCCTTCTCAAATTACTGTTGTTCCTCCACCAGCAAACACAGCACACCATAAAAACCCCTCTCTTACCAGACACCAGTTCACAGTGGGTGCTGCTAGAGCTCAGAGCAATACTTGCTTTCATGCCAGAAGGATGTTGCTGTCTCCTGGCACAGACTGTCATGTGCTAGCAAATGTCAGAGCTGAGTGTTCCCTTGGCCAGGTCAGATTTTGTAAAGCTGAGGCTGTCACAAGAAAGGTTCATGCCAGATGTAGCACAGTGTGAGAGGAGTGGAGCAATGAGTGTCTCAGCAGTCTCAGTTGGGCTTCTATTGTCTTCCTTCCACAACCTCTCAGGGTTTTGGCATGTGCAAGGTCTGGAATACTAAATACTGAATCATTACTCCAGGTTTCCTTTTGCCCTGTGCTGGGCTGCCCTGCTGGAGAAGGGCTGACAGTGCAGTCCTGGCGCTGCTGGCTCAGTGGAGCTGGGAGCCATCTCCGGGTTAAGCTGCTAACGCTTCACACCAGTACTGACACCTGCCACAGCAGAGCTGATATTTGCACTTAGGTTTGATTGCCACACTCAGTGATGAACTCAAATGGCTTCTGGTTGACAAAAATGGGATTAAGCCATTTAGTGCTCATATGCACCTGTTGTGAAGGTAAACTTAATAGCACATTTTTATCTTCTCAGGACAACCTGACTGCTTGCACTGTGTTCAAATTGAGAACTTCCCTTATAATGAGGATTTTGTAAAAGTGAATTCTTCACAAGGGTTATCACCATATCATGCACTTTTAAAAACATGTATTTATTATTGTCATACAGTAAATGAATGTCTAGTATTCCACAGTTTCAAGGTTCTTCCAAGCATGTTTTTTAAAGAAACATGAAATCCATGTAAATAAAAAGGGGTTGTACATTACACAGTATATCAATGAAACACATATGCTGGACAAAAGGTCCACCAGTTGTAAAAATGCAAAGTGCTTAATTAATTTTAAAAAGCAATAATAAAACTATGCCTATTGTAATACAGAAGATTGAAATAAAAGCTTTTCACAATTTTCTGTTGTTTCTGTCAATGGTAGTCCTGTCAAGAAAGCTCATGAAGAAACTTAATTTTGAGTTGCCACTTAAAGAGTAACATACTCTGGAAAGTAAGGTGGGTTTGAGTGGCTAAACAATGAACAGCACCTGATAAAGAGACAGTGATCATTGTATGTATCTCAAAGATGATTGGGCTGCCACTTCCTGCATGGAACCTGTTCTCCTTTCACCTCAGAATTCTGTGCCTGCAGCACCTTCAGGATTGAGATCCAAGTTTGGAAAAAGGCTTGCTGCCACTTGATTCCAGTACAGCTTCATGGAAGAGAAGAGAAGAAGGGGGTTTTCCTCAGATTGCACTTTTCAAATCTGTGCTAGACTTAACACATTCATTTCTGGGCCTCACAATTGGGTTATTACATTTGTTCTATTTCTTTTCTTTCAGTTCTCCTTGCTGCAGCCTTTCCTCCCAAACGAGGTTCTTTCCCCTGACAGGTTTCATGAAAATCTGCCTGTGCCATGTTAGGAGTGTCCCTGTGCAGTGCCTGATTTATCCTCCATGTGAAATGCAGCTCCATTGGGGTCAGTCTTGATAGAGCTGAGGATGGGAATTATCTGTTGCCAGGTTTCTCCTAAGGCAAAATGAAGACATTTAACTAGCAGACAAAATTAATAAAAATATACATTAGCAGTTACTTTTTAATCAGTGTTAATTACTGCAAATCAGTTTAAATACATGGGCATGTCTCTATTAAGTTGTTCAAAAATATAAGATTATTTAAGAAAATTACCATTTATTTTCTGCAAACATCCAACTATCAAATTTGTCTCCTAGTTTCCTGGTGCTACTTTTAATATAGGTGATATTTTTACATTTAGTTTCAAATTCACAGTTTATTTGTAAATTAAATTGCAATTTGTAATCACAGTAATATACATGTATAGTCAGTAACTACAGCACTTAATGTGGTGTATCATCAGTGCTCAGTTGTACTTTACAGCTGGTAAAGACTTAGAACTGCAGTGAATGATTATTCCTTTGGCAACAGGAGTGTAACATTAGTAATGACTTCTTTCCCAACTTCTCTCTCCCTGTGATCTCAGATCTGCAAGTATTTCATTTGACACTTGATATTCAAACTGTTGGCATCAACAGTTCTGACCCTTCACAAACAACAGCAGCTGTGCCAAAGACTGAAAATACCTTGGCCAGCACAATGCCTTCCTTTAACTGTAATAAGGGTAAATATTTCTGCTACTGTAGTGAATAAAAGTCCCTGTAAATAGTGCTACCCTGCCCTAAAGAGTTTTTCCATTTTCTCTGGTGTTCTCACATGTGTCTGAAATGACTGTGGCCAAGTCATTTCACTGTTGATTCTGCTCTGTTTAATGCATAACTCGATGAAACTTCTCTCTGACTTCCTTTCTGCTAAACCAAACAAAACATACTAAAGTTAAAGAATGAGAAATGAGCTGAAGTAATCTCAGTGTGGATTGCAGGACGCAAAGTGTGTGATCCACTTCTGGACTGTCTCACTTCTCTGTTGCTATAGAATGAGTAAGGCTGGGCAGGCTCAGCCTCTGTGTTTGCTCATGCTAAGGGAAACTTCGACTTCAAACTGTCTTTGATTATTTCTGTTTCATATGGTGGAAGCACAATGCAGGATTCAGTTTGCATAGAAAACTTCTGATGCTTCAAGTTCCTCATGCAAAGTTTTGTCTTTGGGAGGTTTCTCAGTAAAGCTGTTTTCCAAATCTGCTTCAGCACTGCCCACTCCCAGCTCCTCAGTGCAGATACTCCACTTCTGACACCACTTGTCATTTTCTTGCATTACAGTGACATCTCGTGGTATTTTAAATACTTTCTGTACAGTGTTTTTTTTCTTTTATAGTATTGGGTTTTTATCTATCTTTCTCACTTCAGGGAATCAGCAGTATTATTTTATTTACAAGTGCTGCAGGTTTACGTGCTGTGAAAGGTGACTTCTCTCCTAGATGCTTCACTACTGCTGTTTATTCTACGTATGAATAGAGACATTTCTTGATACTCTTCTGGAGTAGGTGAGATTTATTTTATCGTCTGTATTTGTGATATGGCAATAG